AGCCCCATACTAGCCACTGGGAAGAAAGTTAATTCTACTTCAGCCCAAAGCAGCACACCAAGCAAGCAACAAGTTTCATAGAGATAAGGTCACTGACTGATACATATGCACATCTCTACTGCACTTCAGACATCAGTGAAGTCATCAATCCAAAGGGATTAGAGAGATGCATCACACAACCTTCACTTCCAATGGGCTCACCCAACACCAGAGATTTTGCAGTTCAAAATCCATGTGAGTGTGGTACGAAGAAAATTGTGTTCCCTGCTGCAGCAGCCTCTAAGTCATTCCCAAGTGGCACTCGAAAATTGTGTTCCCTGCTGCAGCAGCCCCTAAGTCATTCCCAAGTAGCACTTGGAGTTTCCTGTTCCATATGAGAGTTTTTCCTTTAAATTTTTCAGAAAGCAGGAAAAAATATTTGGAAAAGACCATAAATAGAAAAGTATAATGTCCCTTGCCAACCCCTGTTGAAAACATTAAATATTAAAGAGAATACAAGCTACAAGAGGAAAAGATATATATTATTCAGACTCAAACCACCTCACAAACACTGAAACAATTCCAGGTAACTAACTCCACGTACAAGTATAAAATTTAACATGCACATAAAGTATGTTCTTAAAAATGACAACCTGGTAATGTAGAAGAGGAAAATATGCCTCCTCTGTGAAGGATAATCAAATGAAAGGTACAAGCCAAAAACAACCACAGGGGCTGGCCAATAAAATGTCATGTTCAGAAAATGTAGTTTACATTGCCTATTCTTCACTGTGATATTCATGTCTGTTAACAAAGAGCAAAAATCTAACTCATGAGTGGTGTAAATGTAAGTGAATTATCCCCATTTCTCTGTGTAAGATGAATGTCACTAAAGAGTTTCAATTTTCTTGGGTATTGTGCAGCAAAGTGTTTCTTTATACCAAACGGAACCATCTAATGACTATACTGAATGACACTTATGGAGCATAATGGGTACTCTGAACATTTGGTGAGAGAATCATCTGCCTATGAGAGAAGGAACTGAATGGCTGGATATATCCCTAACGTACAGGGAAAGATTGATAATGAAATGAAGAGCAAATGCACTTAAGAGATTCCAGAGCTGATTTGGCCAGAAGATCATTATGAACCCCTAGACGAGTTTTCACATTGACTCTACTGGCAACAGGATTCCCACAGGACTGATCTATAGTTTGTGTCTCATGCTTTTCTGAAAAAAACCACACACAAGAAGCACCTAATTCATCACTCCACAAAACCACAAAAGTTCACCTTTATGGTTGATTCTTTGTCTGCAGGATAGCAAATTCTGTATGCAGAGCTCTCTCAGACTGAAGGTTCCTTACTTTATCTTTGCTGTACATACATATGTTAATGAGGTTGTCTCCCTTATTTTTCTGTTGAGGCTTTCAAAGGTTGACCTTGATATCATTATACAGCACTTCTGAATTTCTTCCTCCCAGATTGGCTCATGGAGCTCTTCCAGAACTTACTTCTTATCCTTCTCATTTATACACATTATCTGTGTCTTTCAGAAGATGAATAATAATTAGATCTGTTCAGGAATTTTTAACTGAATATTTCCAGTTGGATCTGAAGCACTTAATTTCAAATATCTTGGGTTCAACAGCACACTTCATTGGATTCAAATAATTCACATTGAAAAACAAAAACAACACCAAAAAAGATGCTTCAGAAAAAAACAGCAGAATCTGCTACACAGCCAAATACATTTAAAAAGACATTCTAACTACAGCACAGTCATATTTTTGAATGCAGATGTTATAAATTTCTCATTACCTTCTACCAGCAAGGTCCAGTACAAACCAATTTTTCTATACACCATATCTATAATTTTATATCTGTCTCCTTAAATATCTTGTGTGAAACCTCTTTTCTGTTTTCTTTTTTGCTAATCTCACTTAAATTATATCCCCCTAATCGAGGTAAACACCATTGCTCAAAACAAATGCTATTCAGTGGAGCATAATTATGGTCTACAAAGTTACTGATCCAGAAAATCTCCTTTGGAACATCAAAACACCTTTCTTTGCTTTTATAAATTGCTGGCAATGAAGCAGCCAAATGGCCACAGGGGCTTTATCCACAGCCTTTAAACAACTTATGGTTTGGTGACTTGTCTGTCTGCTCGAGCACTCGTCCCATATTTATCATGTTAATCACCCACTTCAGAAATGGAGATAAGCCAAGGACAAAATGTTGGTCAGTTTACTTTAGCGAATGCAGTTACGCCAGAAAATGGTCAATAATACAATTCACTGTTGTGATGTTAAACCAAGCCTCAATGACAAAGTTTCTACAGATAGCTGGGAAAAAAAAAAGTGTTAAACTCATCACAGAAAGAGTACGTACCACTTTGGGTCAGAGATGCACACTCTTCTCTCCCACCCACACAGCTGACTTGTACTCAACTCCAGTTTGCTGTATTTCAGTGATGAAGAGTGTAAGCTATGAGCCCTTATTTGAATCACAGAATCATAGAATCAATCAGGTTGGAAAAGACCTCCAAGATCATCGAGTCCAACCCTACCATGGTTACTAGACCATGGCACTAAGTGCCACATCCAGTCTCAGCTTCAAAACCTCCAGGGATGGTGAATCCACCACCTCCCTGGGCAGCACATTCCAATGCCTGAGCACTCTCTCTGTAAAAAATCTCTTCCTACTATCCAACCTAACCCTCCCCTGGCAGAGCTTGAGTCTGTGCCCTCTTGTCCTGCTGCTGGTTGCCTGGGAGAAGCGACCAACCCCCACCTGACTCCAACCTCCTGTCAGGGAGTTGCAGAGGGTGAGAAGGTCTCCCTTGAGCTTCCTCTTGGATTCATATCCTGTAACAGAAATGTAAAATCTGACAGCCTTTCAATGCCAATGCCTTTAATGGATTATTTTTTTCTCTGTGTGGAAGGTTGGGTTTTTTTGTAGGAGTTACTGGTTTCATTGTTAGGAGTTCCATCACCTCAACTTTGATCAACACAAAAAGTTTAGTGGAAACGGGAATATTTATTTCCTTGTAGAACTGAAGTAACACAAAAGATAGAAGAAAATAATATTCCCAGATTTATTCACTCATGTAACTCTGTATATTTAAGGGAAAGGGTTTATAGGCTGATTTGTCAGCCAAGAAAAAGCTCTTGCATTACTGAAAGGACTAGATAAGAGGCAGTTTTAGGACTAGCTTTGGACTAGTCAGGAACTGAGTCAGTACCAAACAAAAGTGAGAGTAGCCATGATGCTGTTCTGAAATACACGAGCTTGTTTTGGTCCTATGGAGGAATCACTCCAGCACATCTATCCTGGGCCCATACAGGCTCCAAGGCACCTCGGGAGAACAAACAAAAAAATCTCAGGGATGTCATTTACTGACCACATAGATAAAAACACTAACTAAGGGTACAATGAAGAGCTATATTTATCCCATAAAAATGTCATTTCAACAGCACTGCACGGAATCCCTTTGACTCAGTCTCCAGTTCATGCTGACTTGACATCTGTCCCCGTTTTCTTCTCTTCAGACAATTCTATAATGGCCTTCAGCTCAGCTTCAGAGAACTTAGGGGTCAGTGCCATAACATCATAATCAAATTCTTCATCAAGTGAGAATGGTTGAACATCATCCCCTAGTAGCTGTAATGAGGAAAAACAGACACATAAATAATATTGCTGCAAGTGATAATAAGGGAGTTCAAAATATAAACTTCTAATTAATATTTAATTAAACTCTTTTTTCCTGACTCTAACACTCTCAGCTGATTAAGCTCTTTTTAAGTAAAAGAATAAATTCAATTATTCAATTTGACCTAATTTAAGCCATTTAATGTGCCCCATTTGTACTGTACTGTATCTGAATGAATATCATTAACTAATTTTGCTCAAGGCAAGGAATCTAAAAACCTCCCTTGCACATATCTATTATATTCCTGCCACTTGTAGCAGGGGATATGGACAAGTTATGTGCAGCTATGTTAAATTTCAAAGACAGATTCCATACTCTTAAAATCTGGGCTAGTATTACATAAAGCTTCAGTGTACATGCATCTGATACTAATGCAACACACTTCCCAGAACACAGTTTCAGTGAAGGAAATGCCTGGAATGAGCAAAATGACACAGAATCAATTTTCAGACTCCAATCATTTCTTTTCACAGTCTCCTAGATATGCAGTTGGCTGGTTTGGATCTCTTGCATAATGAGCATGAGAATCATCCTGGACTTGCCAATATGTGCTCTGTTGACACAGTGTATGGCATTTCTGTATTGCTTCTGGTTGAAACAGCTTAGAATAAACACTCTGCCTATAAAATAAAATAAGGAAAACAAATAACTATGGCAGGCTCCATGCTGATAAGAAACTGCAGGGGGCCATGACACGAAAGGTTTATGGAAAACAGTTACATAAAATGAATTCCAGGGCAACACAGGGGACACATCCTCACTATTAAAAATGTATAGGAATGCTCCCTATCCTATGAGAAGTTAATATAAAACACCTAGAAAGGTGTTTCAAAAATTTAAGTACTTCAGCAACAAATCAGCAAAACATTTAAACATGCTCCTTTTTTTTTCAAGCTTCTGGTGAACCCTCGGTGAAGTCAATGACTGCTGACGTATCTGAAATTAAAAATACATGCTTTGTTTGCTGAAAGGCAGGAAGAACACTCAGCATCTTATGGTCACTGCTCAGTTCAGAAGGCATAGTATTCTGCACAACGTGTGGTAAGGTTTTGTAAGAAGTGGCATTGACACAGTAAATGCCAACTAATAAGTCAGGGAAGTAGTAGATGGATTCTTCTCTGGTGGCTGAGCACTGGATAGACCTGGCAGAGAACACCTGGGTAGTACCTACATCCTTTATTAGTAAACTGTAATGCTGCCTGAATGATCAGAAAATACTTTTTCTGGATTTGTATGATTTTCTTAATCATGCCTACTGCTTCATTTTCTAAGGGCCTAGCTGAGATTGGCTTCAATAGATGCTGGAGCATACAAACCATCCTCGATGCAGACCTGTAGGCCATGGGCATGTATAAATGGGAAAAACTTTGTAGATAGAGTTGGCCTAGAAAACAATATTCATTCTGCATGCAAAGATTAGCTTGCTTATGCCCACAGACTATCTCAGGTAAACCATCATTTACTTTTATAAATAGCACATTTGGGAAATGTTTACATGAGTTTACTTTTATAAATAGCACATTTGGGACATATTTACATGAAACAAAGCCTGCAGAAAAACTCTCATTCCCATTAAAGCTAAGGTCAACACCTTGACCTCCTCATCATACTCATGTCTGTTTACATCTCTTCCTCAGGCAAAGCTTCATAAAATTCCACGTCAGTAAGTTTACCAGCAACTGGGTAACAACTGGTACCAGCAAGCAGGGTTCTACTACCTGTCTTCCATTTGCAGAAATTCAAAATGCCCTTCTAAAATACAATGCAAAGCACAAATATTTTTCAGTTAGTTTGGCTGTAACAAAATTTGTTACCGCATTGTGCTGATCTTGGCCGCAGTGGAGATAACTTTCTTCCTAGTGGCTAATACGGGACTATGTTTAGGATTTGTGCAGAACACAGGGTTGATAATGTAGAGATGTTTTTGTTATTGCTGAGCAGAGCTCACACAGAGTCAAGGCCTTTGCTGCTTTCCATACTGCCACACTGGCAAGGGAGTTGGGGGTGAATGGGAGATTGGAAGGAGACACAGCTGGGACAGGTGACCCAAACTGACCAAAGGGATATTCCATACCATAGCACATCATGCACAGTATGTAAAGTGGGAGGAAGAAGGAGGAAGGGGAGACATTTGGAGTGATGCTGTTTATCTTCCCAAGGAACTGTTCTGTGTGATGGTCCCTGCTCTCCTGGAGATGCTGAACACCACCTGCCCATGGGAAACAGTGAATTCCTTGTTTTGCTTTGCTTGTGTGTGTGACTTTTGCTTTCCCTATTCAACTGGTTTTATCTCAACCCATGAGTTTTCTAGCTTTTACCCTTCTGTTTCTCTTCCCGTTCCTGCTGGAGCAGCTAAGTGGGGCTTGGTGTCTGGCTGGGGTTAAACCACAACACACATCTATCTACGGGTGGCTAAGCTAAGCAGAGTTAAAGCTACAGTAAGCCTTCACAAGGATTCTACAAAAACAAATCTACCTTCCTCTGCCAAAATAGTTACAAAAGTACATACATATTGACTATGACCTTGTGTTGACCTTGATGTCATTCCAGGAACATTTTGTGCAGATATAGCAAAGTAGTGCAAAAACTTTTGTTTACAAAACTCAACCCCAAACTGCTAACTGAAATTAGATGTCAAAATAGAACATACCCAACTTCACCCTGTTAACAAGTTTTCTGTAACCCATTCTTTGCACATTTGAAAAGTTTACTCCCATTGTATATTTATCACTCAGCTGCATCTCTCAAATGAATACACAAAGCACTAGGGATTCCTATTTTTTGGCTTCTTCTGCCAAGAAGCCTTTCACTTCAGCCTTCCATACAGACAAGCAATCTAAAACTTTAATACTGCAAACTGCAATTCTGATCTATTTCCGAAGGAAGACATTTTACAATAGAACATCAAATCCTCTGAGCTTATCAAGTTATTATCTTGTTATTTTTGCCTAAGGAGCTGAGAGCAATATGTGAATTTCAGGTGTCTAATTTAACATCTAATTGAAATCTTTTTGAGAGCTCTCTGGGAATAGAATCCTGCTCTATTAGAAAACTGCCAGTTTGCTTAACATTGCTTCTGTGATTTACTCTCTGAAGGAAAAAATCACTTTCATTTACAGTTCCTGCATGCCCAAATTAAAGGAGGGAAAGAATGTAATATTCATATTAATAACTGAAGTATTTTGCTAGAGGCTGATTTACAAAGTAGTGTTGTAAATAAAATACCTTAAAGTTGACATTTTCAAAGTCTATTAATAATTGGCAACTCAGTCCTTTATTAATCTATGTGGAGTCACAGTTAACTGAACAGCTTGACTGTGTCCTTCCAAAACTTTCAGTTCTGTGTAATTATGCCACTCTATGATTCACTTTTTCAGATTATGTAAAGGATGCACATCCACTCACCAATGATTTCATTGCATACTCAAGGGAAAACTTACTAGTTCTATAACAATAAATAAAAAAAAGGTGGGGGGAAGGTATGTATGCTATGATCTCATATAATCTTGATATGTACTGGGGTAATTGGGAGAAAAAAATGTTTGTCTTGAGCTTGGGGCACTGGATTGTTAGTCAATAAATCTTGACCAGTTTTCCACTTCTGTTTCATCATTCTGGATGAGTCATTCAATCTCTGTGTCTTTACTGGCCTCTGAGAAGTTACAGCTCTTCCATCTTCTTTCACTTAGTCAATCCTGTCTTTAAGTTGTTCCTCGTTCTTGTTGCATTTATGCAAAGCACATAACAGAAACAAACTTCAGGTGAGGCCTATCAGTAAAACCTGAAACCACAGGAATTCAATGGAAGTTGTATTTTAGGTGATAGATTCTGACGTTGCAGACAAAAATAAAATGATAGGCATGGTAAATACTTCTTTGAATGCTCAAACTAAAGGAAAAAAAAAGGATAATGGAAAGGTAGACTTCTTCTTTCCTAATCCCAGCCATATAAAAATTAGTCTTCTCGAATACGGTAGCCAATTAGCCAAAAATGGCCCAGCCTGAGCTTGTGGATGGAGGTATATTACAGCTTATGACAAAAACCTACAGCAAGTGGGATGAATCACTTCCTGGAGCTGCTTAGCTCTGCATCCTGATGACTGAAGGAGTAAATTAGACCACAGCTAAAGCTGAAGTTAGATAAGACAAATCCCACTTGGAATGAGAGAAGAGACAATGGGCAGAAACTGATGCACAGGAAGTTCCATCTAAACATAAAGAACTTCTTTACAGTGCAGGTGACTGCCCAGAGAGGCTGTGGATTCTCCCTCACTGGAGATATTCAATGAGTGTCTGGATGCAATCCTCAGCCATGTGCTCTAGGATGACCCTGCTTGAGCAGGGAGACTGGACTAGATGACCCACTGTGGTCCCTTTCAACCTGACCCATTCTGTTATTCTGTGATTCTTTGAATGCATATCTATAGTGAGTGGATGGAAAATATGCATCAACTGCATCCATGTGTATGCAGGGAGGGAAATACGAGCAAAGACCAAAGGAAGCAAATATTAAGACATTAAAAAACTATGATGGCTTTTATGAAAGAAAAAAATAAGTAGAAATAAAGAAGAAGATAAATTTCTGGGTAGGGAAGGAAAATGTCCTATGATAAAGAACTTCAGCTACAGAGTGAATGCAGGTTCAATTTGCAGTGGCCTGTGGGAGGTCATGTATGCTGTGCTGTCAATACTGAAACCCTGGAAAATGTGTGTCTAAAGTGAGGAAAGAAAGATGAAGCAACATTGTTGGACAACACGAATAATTTGCTGGGTCATTCACTAAGCCTCTCCCTAACAGCTTTACACAGAAAAACATTTTCTGGGAGACAAGTTGTTCTTTAACAATTAGGCAAGTTATAAACTGGGTTTTAGCAGAGCTTCTGAAACTTTTTCCCTAGCAATATGTTCAGAGATACACACCTTACCCTAAAGTGCCTCACAAGTGTTCCCACAGCATAGACTTTTGACATCCTGCTATTTTTCATAGGGAATGATCTCTATTCTCTAAGAAAACCAATTAGGCAGCCACATTCTGTTGCCCTTCCCTAACAGATTTGTTTTGATGGACAGAGGACAGTCTCATTTCAAAGCAGAGATGCCTCCAGGGAAAATCTTTTTCTCTTTCTAAACTAGTCCTGCCATAAGAAATGCAAGACTTAATTTTCAAGACAATGACAATCTGAAGCACTGAGGGATTTTAAAATGGACCTGTTCAGTCCTGACAGTTCTAAAAATCAGGCCACACTTCTCTTATCTAAATGAAGGCAAAAATATGTTTATAATTTAGGGGATAGGCTGCCTTCATCTTAAGCAGCCTGGCACCAACCAAATGGTTGTGAAAATTGTAAGCCTTCTTGAAAAATGCAGCAACTCCTAAGCATGTAATAATACTCAGTTTCTTTCATAACTGAACTTTTCCTCAAATGGAAATGAATTTTGCATGCAGTGGGATCTTTATCTATTTTTCATGAATTATAGTTTAAAGAACCATATGCAGCCCTTTATGAACACTGCAGGCTGCTGCAACCCTCCTTTTCCTTTGGTTTTATACAGAAGTTATCAAATGAGAAAGCTATAAAACCTCATTTCTCGTTTGGGTGGGTTGTTTTTTTTATTTATTTTGTGTGCCAAGGGATATATCTCAAGGCAAACCCCTTGAATTATGTCAATCCTTAGGGAAAAGAGTGAGTATTTTTATTCACAGAATGGTGGGTATTAAAGCTTGAAAGGTCATTTTCGAACATTTACTTTTTCCCAAAGCAGACTTGTTCCTTATAGTAAAGAGTTTATTGCAGGGACCTAAACACAATTGAGCTCAGGAAAGGAGGCACCATATGCACTGCTATAACACCAAACCTTCATTGGTCACGCGTCATTTATAAACTTGATTTAAGCCTCATGGGAACGTCAATAAGCATATGAAACTATCAAAACTGGCCCATTTTAGCTGGAAGCTAACTTCAGCTGCTGTTATAATGATCAGGAAAGAGTACTGAAGAATTCTCTGCAATAGAAACATCCCCAAAACTTAATGCTCACGCTATTGGGATAGGAGGCTTAATGACTTAAAATAAGCCTGTGAGCAATCCACACCTTCTGCTGCAGTTTGAAAAGAACTGAAATTCCGAGGGAGAATGGCAATTCTAAATTAAAGCTTGTATTGACTGAGGCTGATTAAAAGGCTCAGGCTCCATAAAGCAAACCTCTCCACACCAGACCTAGACAATGCAGATTCTCAGCAGCATCTTGCTACTACTCATTTCCAAGGGAACAAATCCCAATTCTGACCATAATATATTCTACAACTTTTTTTTTCTCCTTTAAATGTCACATTAAAGGCATCATTTAACTACCTCCTTGTTGCAGAAAATGGTTCTTATATTAAGCCAATGAGAACTGCAGGATGCCATAAGACCATGAGATCACTGGAAAATTAAACGGCCCATCATTCCAGCTAAGTAAGGATTTGTTAAAAGGTCAGGATGTGCAAGAGTTTACTTGAATATTCTGTGAGTTACACAAATTAAATATTAAAAAGCCCACATACCATTTGAAGTACTGAAGCACACATTTTGAAAATGCAGGATTATATAGTAGCAGTGTGCCAGATGAATTAGAGTGTTTAGCTCAATTCTTAATGTATTTATGAATCCATTATTAATTTAACTCACAGCAGTTCCACACACTCCATCTATATCCCTCTGTTCTTGTGGAAATAAAATTAGAAGTCAATAGGACAAAAAAAAAAAAAGACCCCAAACCCCCAATGTTTAAACAAACAAATCTGATCTCATACCTCTTGGGTTTTGCTGTCCCTTGGCTCTGGAACTGACAAGGTTCTGAACTTTGGTTGAACAGGCTTATCAAAAAGGGTATACAGTAAGTCACTGTCTGTTCCACCTCTCCTGGGAGAACTAATGACCCTGCTGAATAAAAAATACTCAACATTAACCTTCCATTCCATGTATAAATTAGCAAAATCCTGTTCAAATCCTGTAGTGCTCAGACACAGACAGAAGCTTCTTAGCCAAAGTGTGCTATACTTATTGTTGCATAAGCTATCTTTAGAAGAGATCCATCATCTCCTGAGCTAAAATATAGAGAGGAATACTATACTAAGGAAAAATCAAACTTGGTTGAAAACACAGGTAGCTCTTCTTTTTTCAGAACACTGAATTAAAAATGTGGATGTAGATGCTCCTAAACTCAGCGAACACCTGGGATTCCTTTCATTTCTTTCATAACAAAGATGGAAAGTACTGAGATGTCTGAACACACTAAATCCTTGTCTGCCATTGATTAGCTGGGCAGAGCTTCACCACCTGTAATTTGGGTGCAAAGAATTGTTGCAAAGCATCTTTATCTGACTCTCCCGAAACATGAAGTAAAAATACCTGGCAAAAGTACCAATATTCCCCACTACAGTGACAGATGAATCTTTTGTCCAAGGATATTTCATGGATGTTTGTTCCTCCCTGAGATTCATCAGAAGAGGTACTTGAGAAGACTTTCCCTGGTTGCCCAGGGAGGCTGTGGCTGCCCCAACCCTGGCAGTGTTCAAGGCCAGGTTGGATGAGCCTTGAGCAACCTGATCTAGTGAGGAGGTGTCCCTGCCCAGGGCAGGTTAGATTGGGACTAGATGATTTTAAGGCCCATTCCAACCCTTAAATTCTATGATTCTATGATATCTGGGACAGAGTGACTTGTAACCTTTCCATACAGGCAGGATTTGGTCCACAGTTCACAAATGCACAGACTTTCTGAATCACTTTTCCTTTCCATACTTAAGCAAAACATTCGTACGGGGAACAGTGGGTTTGCATTCTCTGACAGATCAGAAGGATATGCCTTAGGTTTAGAAATATCTTTTACCATGAATCAATCTCAGCTCTGTTACAGAACAGATGTGTCCATCTCATCTCAGTAATGTTTTTATGAAAGAACTTAAGGGGACCATATGTCTTGCAATTTAGTCAAAGGATTATGTAAATCTATCTACTTTTTTTTCCAGCTGATACACAAGTTTCTTTACAGTTTTATACTAGATTTACATTCCTTTCAAAACCTCAGAATGAATTTTCAAAGCATTGCTTAAATGTTAGTTAATTGAACCAATAAGAGGGTACCATAGATCCAGGGTGAAAAGGATGTGCATAGTTTTACCCCAGTTGTGGAGTTACAGACCTCTCATTCCTCCGTGAATCTGCATAATGATTTCCTAGCTAAGCCTCAGTAAAAAATCCATGATCAAATTCTTCATTTAGTTTTCTTTTGGGAATAGTGTGCTATTTCAAAGCCAGCAGGTTTGGAATTTCAAAGTAGAATGTTCTTTTCAAAAGAGCTGAATTAATTCCCTTGGGTATTTCATTCCTGGAATTTTGTCTTTTGGTTCATGATTCATGTATAAGTGGTTTCATTTTCATCCCTCTTCTCTTGGTTGCTTATGTCTATCTCTAGCCATCTATGTGCTTTCAGTACTTGTTCTCAGCATCGCATCTGTTCTGATTCTGCACCAGTTATACGAGAAAGCTTTCTGAAAAGGACAGCACAGTCCACAGGTATCTATGCTATGTCTTCCCATGCTCTGCAGCTGCTTTTTTCATAATTTGGGTCAAAATTATTTGTAGGACAGAAGGAAGCTGTGAATGCTCATTTAAAAATAATGGCATCTTCCACTATTGTTTCTAACTTGCACCCTAAATCTAGACCCTAACTGAAGGCAGAGACATCTCGACATCAAGAAGTTTGTATCCCCTACTGCTATAAATACTGATTATTTCTGCACTAAGAGCTTCTCCCCCTCAACAGCCCAATCTGCAGAGAGAAGATGAGGAGGAAGCACTATTATGCAACAGTCTGGCAATGGCTCAGAAAGATAACTCTTAAGAATTAGGACAACAGAAGGAAATGTATTTTTGCTTTTAGCGAGAACTGCTTGTCATAGTCAGAATGTCAATTCCACTTTATAAGGCTTGTTAGTAATGCAAACAATGTTTCAAATTCCCTTCAATCACCCCATAAGAATGTGGTAATCAACCTTTGTTTGCCAGTAGACATGCCAGAAATGAGCTTTGTCTCTCTATCCTGGCTCTGCGACAGCATATGAAAGTCTAATTGGTAAATGCTGCTTTCCCTGATAATGTTTAATAAAGAAACTCCATCAGAGAGAAAAATTAGGGAGTTTTGACAGCTCTCCTTCTCAGTGGGAGCACTCAAAGGAACTCTAGGCTATTGTAAGTTCTAGCCAGTACCTCACAGCTTGTTTCGGCTGCTGCTACAGCACTACTGGATGATGATCCTAATTAAGCTGCTAATTATGTTCTCTGTGGAGGTGATTAATTAGCAACAGGAAAGCCTTGGATAATGCCAACAGCACCATATACAGAGATAACTGAACAGGCACCGATATCAAAAAAACTGTGAAGACATTTTGAAATGCACCTCTCATACTATGAAGAATCAACTCCCTGGATATGGCACTGAACATAGATGATGTTCTTCAATTTCAACACACTTTAATGAGGGCATATTTGGAAATTGAATAATTCTCTTTAGTCCCTCCTCTGCACCCCAGAAAGTGATTACTAAATGTGTCAACACTGCTGAGTTGGAGTTTTTTGCTTATTGTGTACCATTGGCATTAATTCTAAGCACAGAAAAAAACATCAGCTGGCACAAGTCTTCTCTGAACTTTCGAGAGTGAAGAAGTTCAAAGTCTTGACTATAACTTTAACTTTACTGTAGCCAAACGATGCCCAGCAATGTATACACTGACAGCTATAAATACACTGACACAGGTTTTACCACTTTCAGACACTACATTTCACAAAAATGCTGTTGATGGGGAGCTGAGAAGGGAGGCAGTGATAACAAAAAAAGCTTGAAAGCTAAATTTTGCAGTCTCCTCTGATTCTCATGCTTCAGGCTGTTAGTCCCAATGAGCTGCCTAGTGTGAAATCATCTCAAGGCAGTGTTAAATGGATTGCAGAGACTGGAGGAGAAAAACAAGAATGGGATTCACCAGTTGGGGGGAGGCCCAAACTTGGAAAAATCCACCTAATTTCACTCCAAATCCTCTTCCTCAAGTTGATTTTTCTGGAAGCAAATATAGGCTCAAAATATAAATGGAAAGGCACAGATTATGGAAAAATAACAGATTTTGATATAATTTGCCTAAGTAATTGTCTAAATAATCCAACAGTTGTGCTAGATCTCAGCTTCAAAGTAACTGAGTCACCTGGATTCTCCTCAGCTTCTGTGAGATTACAGACAACCAGGACCTTGAAAAGACAAGTTTGCAGTACCTCAGTGCTCCAAGATGGGTTAGGATGAGACTCAGATATCCTTGCCTATGGAGCCTCACCCATACACTTAATTAGTCCTGTTTTAATTTTCGCTTGTATTTAAAAACTAGCACACTCGAGGTCTCTAGATATGCTCCTTACATATTTTGTACTTAGACAAGTATTACCTATTCTTACCTAACTATCCTTCAAGCCCTGCAGCAAGAGATTTGTAACAAGTTCTGGAAAGAAATTCTGTTGCTAAAACAGAGGCACTAGGCATTTTCCATCCATCCCTGGAGAAAGACTGTTCACCTCTATTGTTGCCTTAAGCTACTTACAGTTACAGATAAATTCAGGGAGAGTGATTAAACAGTACACCATACACATGCTGTCTCTACACGAGGCATAAAGCTATGGTTTGGAGCAGTGATTTGACTTTGCCAGTCATGGTTTACTGTGCCAAAGTCCCACAATGCAAAGCATTGCCCTGGGTTCAGGCTTTCAGCCCTGTGCTGTCAAATGAAAACAGCCACAATGAATTTGCATACTGGCCAAATCCATGGGCTGCTTTTTCTCCTGGCAGCTGTATTCCTTCACAACTTAAAAGACATTGAACTTAGCAAAATAAATCAGAATAATTAAAAAAAAACCCAACTCAAGACTAGAATGAGTCTTCCAGGACACCTCCCAAAAAAACCCAGTGCTTTAGATGGGATGTTTTAACACCTCTTTTCTATCATGCTTTTCACACTGTCAACTTTGAGTGATTTCCCCTTCAGGATGAATATTTATTGTATTAATGTAGAGTTGCTAACTCAGCTAACTGACCTGCCCTTTAAAGCTAAATGAAGCACAGAGATACTGAACGGGTGCCAAGAACAGGGAGAGATAAAAGCTTGTTGCAATTATACTAGCAAGGTATGATATTTTTTTCCTGGGTGTCCTAGTTTGTTTTGTCAATATGAGGTCTTAAATCAACCATTTGTTCTGACATACAGGTGGCAGCATCTGAAAAGGCCAACAACAGAATGTCTTTCAAATTTGTGTCATGCTTTGCCTCATTTATAAACTGACAGAACGGATTCTCTAGTAAGGTGTTCAACAGGGATTTTATTTGAGATTACTTTATCATTACAAACAATAGAAATTATGCCATTTTAAATTTTTAATTGCATTTCCTTGCTCTGGTTTCTACAGGAGTAATATTTTACCTCTATCATTATGAAGCCTATTAAGTGGATCTTGACAGGTAAGATGACTAGCAAACTCTAAGTGCTATTTTCTGCATTTATGAGTCAAGGGGAAATGTTTCATCCTGAGTCAACAACTATCTCCACCAAAGAAGCTCTGGGCAAGACCCAAGCTGTGAGTATTCCAGATATATGTTTGGATGCTGTTCATTGTCCTTACAGAGTTTAGAAGGAGTAATTAGTTTCTGGCTATGCACTGTTTAAAGTTATAAAATACAAGTTGAATGTTGTGAGTGTTGTTGATACATCTTCCTTCTGCACTGAGGCAAGTCTCAAACGTGTTTAACTAAGGGTTTCTAAATGTATCCAATTAATATTTACTCCTCACACACACAAATACACAGAAGTGATCCAAAATCTGGAGAGAGACACAGTCTGTCATTGTCCTGAGTGTGGCAAGCTACCCCCAAACTCTGGCAGAGCTCTTCTTTCCTCACTGTTCTGCTTGGTGTTTTAGTGTTGGGCTTAATTCTCATCAAGCAATTTGTGGCCTGTTTGGAACTAGCAATACCTAGCAATACTTTAATGAACTAGACACGGACAATTTTCATTTCATTATGATAAGAGTGAAATGTGGGTTTGTGTTTCCAACAGGAAGCTCCAGGGGGGGTTTTAATAGGTATTATCAGAATTTAAGACATGAACATAGAAAAATGAACTCTGCTCCAAAAAGATGTCTTTGAAATCTCTACCTGATAGGGGACTGCTATCATAGAATCATAGAATCAACCAGGTTGGAGAAGACCTCCAAGATCATCAAGTCCAACCCTACTGTGGTTACTAGACCATGGCACTAAGTGCCACATCCAGTCTCATCTTCAAAACCTCCAGGGATGGTGAATCCACCACCTCCCTGGGCAGCACATTCCAATGCCTGAGCACTCTCTCCATAAAAAATCTCTTCCTAATATCCAACCTAACCCTCCCCTGGCAGAGCTTGAGTCTGTGCCCTCTTGTCCTGCTGCTGGTTGCCTGGGAGAAGAGACCAACCCCCACCTGACTCCAACCTCCTGTCAGGGAGTTGCAGAGGGTGACAAGGTCTCCCCTGAGCCTCCTCTTCTCCAGGCTGAACACCCCCAGCTCCCTCAGCCTCTCCTCATGCCACTTGTGCTCCAGTCCCTTCACCAGCCTCGTTGCTCTTCTCTGGACCTGCTCCAGCACCTCAATGTCCCTCCTGAGCTGAGGGGCCCAGAGCTGAGCACAGGATTCAAGGTGTGGCCTCACCAGTGCTGAGTCCAGGGGCAGAATCACCTCTCTGGTCCTGCTGACCACACTGTTCCTGATCCAGCCCAGGATGCCATTGGCCTCCTTGGCCCCCTGAGCACACTGCTGGCTCCTGTTCAGTCTCCTATCTAAATTCCTTTAAATTTATCTCATTACCTCTTAGAGCAAGAAAATTAATACTTTAATTTGGGGAATTGGGGCAATTTGGGGAATTTTCTAGCATTAGAAGAACTGAGGAAAATCATCTCTTTTAGATGAGAAACAGTTCTTTAATCAATGTTCATACATTTGCATTCAAAGACAGAAAATGACAATGAATATGAAGGGGGGAAACCTACCCCTGCATGTCACTTCATCTGTGTCTGTGTCTTCCAAATCTAAGCACTCGGCCACCTGCCATAAAAAATTTGGAAAATAGATTAAAATGTATTAATTCCATTCCTTACAGTACAATCTAGAGCAAAGCAAAATGCATTAAATTGTCTGTCTGCTTCATCTTCTCCATCGTTCCCTTTCCGAAAAGGCATATGAATTTTCTTTGATGAATGTGTAACCCAAAGGAAATACTTTTAGGTATAGGCAAAGAACTGCTGCCAAAACTGCTGCATATCTTCTAAAGTGATGGGAAAGGAGCTCAAGCTGTACAGCAACTTTTTCAGGAATTTCGTGGGAAGGTGAAGAAGTAAAATATTTTCATAGGAAAATGATGCATGGCAAGTTACTCTGCAATTTTGCAAGCTCAATTCATATGGCATAGGGACAGTACAGGCTGTAGGCAAACTAGAGCTTAATCCTTCTGTTTTGATACTAATGGTGAACTGAATGGGAAGTAAAAAAGTATTTCATCTGGGGCATTGCTCTACTTTTTTTTTCAGGCTGATGTCAATGGTCTAAACTATCTAAAACATGCCACAAGAAAAGACATGTCTTATTTCAGGTATCCCTCTGAATAGATGCACAGGGTGAGGGTGAAAGGCCTTTCCCAGCCTATGTACAAATAGTGCTAACCATGGCAGATTTACTATATGCACTGAGTAGAGTGTGTTTCCATGAAGTAATTAGAGATGCTCTTAGATAATTTTATTTTTAACCTGGTTTGACAACATTCTCATCAAGACTTATTGAACCTTAACACTCTGAAAGCACATACAAGTACATTAACATTTGGATAAAAATTTGGATTGCAGTGCTCTCATTGTTCTTTCCCAGAGATGGGGATGAAATACATCAATAAATTGCAAGTAATTTGTAAATTAATAAAGCAAAAATCAGTCATGTTCTGCTCATAATCTCCACTCCAAAGAAAACCTCACCTTCTCTCTTTCAGACAGACAGAGATCATTTCCATCAGAGCCACCAATTTTCCAGTTCTCATTCATCACTCTCTATAGATAGATAGGCAGAAAAACTTACATGCATGAAACAGAATCAAAATCACAGTCAAAGCTCCTACTGATTTATACAAACAGTTCACAGAATCACAGAATGGGTAGGGTTGGAAGGGAGCACTGGAAATCACCTTGTCCAACCTCTCTGCTTAAGGAGGGTGCCCTGGAACATATTGCTCAAGATTTTGTCCAGATAGCTTTATATATGTTGTATATAAAAAATTGTAAGAAATGAATGCAATGCTCCTGAAAATAGAAAAGGTGTGGGTAATCCTCTAAAAATCTACACGGGACCAAACTGAAACAACTGGAACAACAGTGGAAGTAATCACAACATGCCTGAAAAGCAGCATTTAGAACAGTAGCACTGTTTCCAATAGCAGTTTTTTCCCCTCTTTCCTTTCCTCAGGGCAGGCTTAAAGGTTACTTAAGGCATCACAGCCTCTTCCTGCTACTACACTAGCAATTTTTCTGATGCATTCTACTATTACTGTATTTGTTTCTTAAACTGCCAATGTGACAAAAATGTGCAGCCAAGTCTGAAGCTTTTTTTCTTTAGAAACAAAGACAAGCACTAAGATGTTCCATTAAAAAAGGATAATGGAAGTTGCACATTGCTTTATGGGGCAGAAAGACAATTCAAAGTGGCTAAAGAGACCTAAAGACAGACTATCCCAATGAGGCAACAATATTCTTCATGAAAAAAAAATGTCAGAAAGATTGTTGTCATTATTGTTACACAATCAACTGACAGAATGTGATAATTTTAAAAGCTTTGCTTGGTCCCACCTCAAAGGCCTGGGCTAGTAGAGAGGAATGTGGCAGCTTGTACTCTTTGACTGAGGCCAGTCACACAATTTGAAGGCACTTAAGTGTGTTGCTCTGTGTATCTCACAAAAGGACCTGCTACTTCTTTTCTAATAAAAAGTTGAATGAAGGGAAATGCTGAGTACAGCCTAGATCACAGCTTAGTTATTTGTTATTCAGGCAGGAGGGCAGAAGTTCTTAACAAGTTGACTCTGATTTCCATCTCACTCTCTCCAGATGATGCCTGTTGTTTTCCTGTCTCTACACATCAAATCCCTAACCTCACATGTTTCAGAAGATAAAAATGCCTCTGGCCTGCCTACTGTTTACTTTAGATAGCTGAAGTAATCTAGCTTCAGTAACACAGAATTCTGTCCTTCCTAAAACCTACAAGAAACAAAATGAATGTGGACATGCTGGCATCCACATCCTCAAGATTTCTTTCCCTTTTTGCCAACCTCTACTGCTAACTGCAGGCTTCAGTGAAAGCACTACCTAGCTCATTGCAGGGCACCTTATTTATCAGTCAGATTACTGCAGCTCTTCAGCAGGGCAAATGCCACTGCCAAAGATGATCCCTGCAGGTGCCTCTCTAAGTATTAAGCACTTAGGCAGTATTTTAAATATTTGCTACCAATAGGATAAATACCACTAGCCTTTAACATTTGGACAGTGTATCTCTCCATATTTTCATCTGTTTGAATGTGGTGCTTGTCCAGATGGACAAATGTTAACTCATTACCTCATTCTCATTTGGCATCAGTGGTGGATGAGACACCCACATTTCTTTGCTTCTTTCAGGTGAGCCATCCTCTTTACTTCTGTTTGGTAATTCAGAGGTAGAAAATGTTGTTCTTAAGGAATCCACCTTTTTTTCCTTGAGCTGTCTTCCTCTCTTTCTCTGCAAAGAGAATCAGATCAGACCAGATAACATAATGCACTCCCCAAGAAAAACATGTAGTTCATTAGGTATAATATTGACTTGTTCTGCACATTCACTTTCTTCTCATGCTCAGAGCTTCCACATGCAATATATACATGTATTTTGTAACCTTTAGCATAAAACTGAATATACAATTTGAACTTCAAGTGTGCAGAGTGAACCTGTTCCTCAGTTCTGAAGAACTCTCAAAAGCTTATGCAATATACAGAACACTTGATAAAATAAGCCAAGAGCTGAAATACCAAAAAAAAAGCAAGACAGTAAGGTTACACCTTAGCTATTAATTTAAACCTTTGTTTAAATTATCTCTGAATTCTGGACAAAATGGCACATAACATTTGTGCCTGTGTCTTTGTCTGACACTGCAAACACCAGAACACACGAAGTGACTCTCCCCTTTGAGACCCCACTACAAACCAGTCCAATGGGAACTGCACAGTCAGTAGAGCTATTTTAGATGTACACTTTTAGCATTAAAACCAGAAAAAAAACCCTCATTCCCCAACACCAACACACTCTCCCACCATTTACATCTTAGTTTTCAAAGTTCATCGCCTGTGCTTATGTGGGATCTGTGCTCATCAAATCACTTGACATCTCGAGGAGTTCAAGCACACCTATTCCTTTACATACCTAATCAATGGGGTATCTTCTTCTAAAGTACAAGGGCTCTGATTTTGATCATAGTACAGCAATGATCTGGGACAGAAATAGAGTAATTCTTGTCTTTGCTACATTAATATCTTGGTATCACTGGATATCAGTAGGTTCATGTGTGAACCTCATAACTACTAAAGCAAATTCCCCATGTACAGAAGTGAGTCTTGGCAGTTGGTTTCAGAGCTGATATTAATACTGGCTGGTCAAGGGACAGCACACAAAGAGTTCTTGGGTGTCCATGGACACTACTGACAGAACCTCCACCAGTCCAGGGCCATGTGATGAGATGCACAGGTCCTATAATCTAGCCTCTCTAGTTAGTAAAACACCTCTTTTGAGCTGATTTCTTTAGATACTTTTGCCTTCAGTGTTTAACAAGTATTGAATGCTCTTGAATTAGCTTATTACCGATTTGCTTTCCTCCCCTGTATCAGCAATCTGACTGAGTGGGACAATTTTGCAACTAAATACATTTTTATTGGGCTCAGACTACCAAACAGCAGTATACAGATGATATTTAATAGCCTGAAGATTAAAGTGTAAATACAGATGCTCAAGCAGAGTTTGTTCCCTTGGTGGATTCCTTTGGTCCTGAAAGACAGACTGGAAAAACATTTTGGCAGTGTATTGACAGAAGAAGAGAATAACTATTTGGGCTTATTTTATACATCAATAGTGGCTAATTGAGTCCTCACTGAAAAGAGGGAAGTATTCAGAAAGAGAATTGAGTCTTTCAGTTATAACTTTTGACATTTTCAGGCCTTTAACGACTCCTTGGACAACAAGAGTGAAGTTCAGACAACTATAAGTGCTTCTGACTGTCCTACCAGCCAGGTCCATGAAGCAGCCAGCAGAATTAGGATACAGCTAGGAGACCATCAAATGAAATCTCAACAGTACAGACTGGATCTAGGAGCTGATTATAGACCAGGACAAGTATGAGCATGGAAGTATGAATTTCCAAACCCATGCTGAATAGTGGTTTTTTTAGTTTCAGCATGCTAAAAAAATATAGTAACCATGGCCAAAATAAAAATGCAGGGCTTTTTCTCTTAAAAGTCTCATTATCAAATATGGAGCAGTTATAGGACAAATCAATTTAAATGAACTCCACGCCACATGTTCTTAATGAACAATAAACGCTCATTTAATGAAGTTTTTTGGGTTTAGTTTGAAAAATCTCCTTTGTAACAATAAGAAACACTGCAGTGCATTTCTAAAGCGTAATTATATGTTACAAGCATTGAAGGAATTCTTGTGGAGAGTTTTAATGATGCCCTTGGGGTTACTACATTGAGTCATACAGCAAAGAGTTATTAATCCCCTGGGACAGCTTTGTGTCGCAGTTTTCAAAACACGCAGAAAGGTCTGGCAGTCTGGGCATAACCTGAAGTCCACACTCACAGGAGTCAGGGTTCATAGAAAGCAAACTGCACCAGACCAGAGCAATCTAGCAAATGGATTTTAATGCTCAGACCACAGATGGATCCTTTGAATAATTCCTAAATCTCAGGTCTCTGGGACATCTGGCTTCTCTCTGCTTTTTCAGCAACTACTTTCCTAAAACAATATTTGGATACATACGAGTAATCTCTTCTTCCTACACACTCTTTTTCTGGAAATGAAGCAGAATTAGATGAGAAACCCTCTTTTAAATTCTTGACTGGTAAAATGGTCACCCACTGTTTGAAGTTATTTTTACTGTCACCCTACTTTATAGGAAGAACTAGAGAGCTAGCTCAAAAATTTTCAGTCTTTTGCTACCACATTAGTAAAACAGAATGGACTTCCTGTTTATACTAAGAACTTGTAAGTTTTATCTTAAAGACTGACAAACCACAAAAGGATATTAATTTATTTTAGGGTAAGTGTGTATTGATGAATTATGCAGCCAAACATCTGCAGACCTACAGAGTAACAACAATGACTAAGGACCCAGTAGCCAACTTGGCATATCAGGAGCACTTCTGTATGAGGAGGGATAAAAACCTTCCAGAAGTCACACAGTTTTCTCAGCCAGACCAACAGAGACACAAAAGAAATTATCACTGGAACGATCAACAACGTAATTCATAAAACCAAAAGACTCTAAATAAACATGATATTCCTGCACTAGCCCAGGCTTATCTTGGATACCACTGTGGTCATTCTTCTGGGGTATAAATCAGATCATCTCTCTCAAAAATACAGGTTCTCAATTTTCCAAACAAAATATTACTTTTAGCATCAAAAGACCTGTGACACATAGCTGGGCAGTTATAATTAGGCAGTACATATGAGCTGACAAACTTACTTTATTAGGTTATATATTTTCTGGACAGCTGAGCTATTGTCAAAGCTAAAAATCTGGATAGATTAAATGAGCTAGTAAGAAATCAAGTGCATTCATAGGATTTATGTGCCATTTACCAACCCCAGACTACAGCTAGAAGCACCATCAGTTTCCCTAAGAGATCAGTCATAAACTTTTGTCAGAAACCTTTTTTGTAGTTAAGACCATTGCAGAGTTATTGGGTTACAGAATATTAAACATTACATTTGATGAAACATTCACGACTGCAACGTGATACTAGATTCACGACTGCCAGTGAAGAAAAATTCAGAAGAAAAAAGTCTAAGCAACCCAAAGCAGTTGTTAAATGCAATTCTGCTGACAAAAATATCAACTATGTAACCATGTGTATAATGAAGCCATGACATATGAACAGGAGGCTCAGGGGAGACCTTGTCACCCTCTGCAACTCCCTGACAGGAGGTTGGAGTCAGGTGGGGGTTGGTCTCTTCTCCCAGGCAGCCAGCAGCAGGACAAGAGGGCACAGAATCAAGCTCTGCCAGGGGAGGGTTAGGTTGGATATTAGGAAGAGATTTTTTAGGGAGAGAGTGCTCAGGCATTGGAATGTGCTGCCCAGGGAGGTGGTGGATTCACCATCCCTGGAGGTTTTCAAGCTGAGACTGGATGTGGCACTTAGTGCCATGGTCTAGTAACCACAGTAGGGTTGGACTTGATGATCTTGGAGGTCTTTTCCAACCTGGCTGATTCTATGATTCTATGATATAAATTGAAGGGGGGGAGGAAAAATAAACACTATTTTGCTAGCCTCCAGCACAGTCCCTCAGGGGCTGTAAGATCGACCTTCAGGTGTCCAAAGAAAGTAGTGACACCCATAGTCTCCCAAGGCATGCACTGTGCAACTGGCTCCCTTGAAGCTGTAATAGACATGATCTTAAAAGACATTATTAAAACCACACACATAAATTGTTCTAAGGTTAAAGAAACTACAATCTGCAGACAAATATCACAGCTGTATTTCTTTGACAGTGTTCTGAATTTCAACCCTTTCAGTCCTTACTTTTGAAAGAGAAGGGGAAGAAGGAAGGATCACATCCTAGCCAGCAAGAGGATCACTCTGCCTTTCACCTGACTAAGTCAAAATTGACTCATTATTCACAGTCACAGCTCTCAACCTGCCAAGATCCTGTTGTACAACACTGGCCTTTACAACATGTGACAAAAATCACATATAAGGGATACAAACACAACAAAATGTAGCAGAGGAAGAAAGCTGAAATGATGGAAAGATTCACATCTTCATTCTGCAGACAGATTTTGTCTCACTTAGAAATTTCACTGCCAGTATCTTAAAAATGAAATAACAAGCCAACTTGGATCTCTGGAAAGTATATGAGACTCTCAAGAGAAGTATCCATCATAATTGTGTGTCACTGAAGAGCATGGCACAGACTTAAGAAACATGTTTCTATAAGAAAGTATATCCAGCTTGATAAATTTTGTTTCTCTCCTGCTATCTATCCTCTATATTGCTTAAAATTCTCTTTGTCTTCCAATTTGGAAGGGAATCTTTTGAAAACATCCACTGATCGGTCACATATTTCGAAGAATAATGGAGTCACTTATCACAAAACCAGAGAAGAGAGCTACCTGTATTATCAGGGAGAACTTACTGTCAGTGAAATCTCTTAGATGACACAGTAGCCCCAGAACAATGATAAAGTTCTCATGGCCTGAAACATTTCAAAGCCAGACCAGACTCAGCAATCAATAACATGCTGTAGAAAATCTGACTTCAGGTAATACACTGGAAACAACAATACAAACTACCAGGTATTTCCCACCTTTTTTCAACTGAATTATTTCATTCCAAAACCAAAAATTAGTTGAGAATTAGCAACAGGACCCTTTAACTATAAAACAAGAAAAAATACAGCAAAGCTACTATTGTAAGTTCCAATTTACTTCTTTGTCCTTTGTCCAAATCCTGGACTGTGAGGGCCAGCAG